CGCCAACCAACGATACCTCGGTTCGAACGACAAACGTCTTGAGACCATTGTACAAACATACTTCCGATCCTTGCTAAGACTGCATCATAGGGATGTAGGTCAAACCTTCGTGAACTTACTTCCATTCCGTACTAGGACTGCATCATAGGGATGTTGGTCGAACCTTAGAAAACATACTTCTATTATGTTCATGAGCGATCGAACTACGTCTAGGTTCAACCATTTTCGCTCACAAATTCATTTTCTTTTGGTGTAACATAATCATATCACCCAAGAAAAATGATCAGCCCATCAACCAAATACCAACACTTCAGAATGATGTAGCTACCTTTCAAGCTGCAGTCTCGGCTACCGTGTCAGCTATTCTGACCCACCTGAACGCTAACAACGCAATGGTTAGTGGGATTGTTATCAATCATTCCAATCCAAGTAACAATCAAGCACCGCAACGAGCAACAAACTACCACGATACCCCGAGTCCCAAAACCAAGAGTAACAAACGGAAGTGTTGGGCTAAATCTACGGACAAGTCGCTTCGAAGGGCGAATAGGAAACAACCACCAGTAACAACCTTCACCGTCATGACATTGATACCTCCTACTACCATCCCTTCGGGCATCCCAATTGTCCCTAACCCAGCCAAGCGATGTGCTGGAGATATCCCATAATGCATCCAATGCAGTTTTCACCACCTTGGACCTTGTGGAGAGATGATGTGCTCAAACTGCAACAAGAAGGGGCACACCAGATGTTACTGCAAGAGCCTAACAAGGCCGATCAACCAAGTGTCCAGCACCGGTGTGAACCAGGCTTGCTACGGTTGTGGCAAGGTAGGTCACTACAGAAGGAACTGCCCAGAGCTAGCAAATGCTGGCACAGACAAAAGTATGCTACCAACCACCACCGCAGGAGAGTCTACTCCAGACCCACGTTAATGTAATTTAGGCGTTTCATTGTAACAAACTTACGAACCATCCCACACTAGTGCAACCAGAGCCTTATATTTTGCGGGATCCCATCCGTTTTGGGATGCTCCTGCTGCGTATACTTGTCTTTTGTAGTATACTTTGTTCGCAACAATAGTCTTGTAGTAAATACTAAGTACAATAACTCTGTTAAAAGTTGCACTGTTGTGTTTTGGTTTGTAATGCCTTATGTTCAAATGTAATGTCTTTATTTTCCATATGTTTCCGACTTTATCATACGATTCGAGTAAATTTGATCGTCGCAATACTAGCTCCACAGGTACATCTCTTTCTCAGTAATCGTCTTTTAGTGAAGCTGTCATATCAGAACACCGAAGTACCCATGCAAGGAGTACCTTAAAGTTCTTTTCCTTCCGAAGGAATCCCCACGGTATCACTCATACAGTACATCAAGTTCAATCCAAAAGATTCATACGGTCGAGCTATCAGTGAAGTATGTACACATGAGAGTATTATACAATCAAGGTTCTACAAGTTTAGAATTGATGATTCCACTTTAACTTCTTTTCCCTCAAAGGGGATGTGAGCCTAAATAAGAATTAGTTATTCGACTACCTTTTCAATCTTAATTATATACGACTCGTATACACGAGATTGTGATCATTAAACAAAGTAAAAAATTCTAATATGAACTTCAGGATGGAGACTACCCAAGACTACGAGTAATTGCATTTGGCATGTGAACAAACTTAGAACCCAGTATGACTCATATAACCAGATCGCCTTACCATCTAAACACCTATGGAAATACAAGAACAACACGAAAAACTCAGCGACCTACTCAACAATAGAATTATAAGACTAGGCTTCTCATCCTTTAGAGCTCTGGTCTTATTCTTACCAGAAGCCGACGGAGTGCATCCTATGTACCTCGACGACCGGGGACTTCATTAAGATTTCATTTAGAAATTATTGTCTCTACCTCGCATAGATGAGTTGCTTGAGCAAATGCAGGGAAATAATTACTTTCAGAAATGGACCTGAGATCCGAATATCACCAGTTCGAGTGTTAGGGAAGGATGTCCTAAAGACTACCCTCCGAACTCGATGCGGACACTTCGAGTCCGTAGTGATACCCCGCGGATAAGACCAATACACCCATAGTATTCATGAGCTAAATGAGTGGAGTATGCCTTTCTTACTGGGATCATTTTGTCATTTCTCCATGTAATGACTTACTTATCTACCCTCGTAGTAAGAAAGAACCCATAGAAACATTACCCTTGGAGATACTTTTCTTAAAGTTCTTTGAACATGAGTTTTGGAATTAAATAGTCAAATTTCCAAGGACACACTTTTAGTGATGTGGAAATTCTTGAGTACTCTCACTACTAGAAAAACAGCCTTTTACGACGTGCAATTAATGACACACATTGATAGAAGACGTGCATTTGTGCGTGCCCCAACAATTAATGTCAGTTTTCCAAAATTTAAAGGAGAGAGGACCCACATTTTTGCGTGTAGTAAAATTAGTGTTAGAAAAAAAATACGGAGGGAACCTATCAAAAAATGTGCGTCGTGTAATAGTGTAGCTTTATATTTTTTTTAAGGAAACACACGTTTTTTAGGGGGAAAAATGAAATTCAAAAAATTAACCCGCCGCCTATTCATCCTAAAAATTCCCCTCCTCTTCGAATTAGGGCATTCGTTTTCATCCACAGCTTCCTCAATTTCTCAATCCATCACCTCCACCAAAAACCTAATTCTCAGTTCCAACAAGTTCTTACACTCTTAGTTTAACCCTATTGAGCTGAGGATTTAGGGTTCTTACCTCCCAGTTATCAATTTGAGCCGATGATTTAGGGTTCCTAACGCCGACCCTAATTTTTTCTCACTCTCATATTTCCATCTCATCCCTCTCCTTATTCTCCTTCTACAATCCTATAGAAATGAACCCTAATAGAATTGTGAGGCTGTCAATCCTTTTGAAGCAGCCGTCTTCCTCTACCTTTGCACTCTTTATCCCTTCCCTTTGGAAGCCCTAATCTCCACCACCATCATCGACTCTCTAATTGCCCTTATTGTCTCTTTATTTTGTTATCCCATATCTCCCCTCCCTAACACGCCTTCGTCTCCACTGTATATTCACTTCCACCGCCTCCAAACCTCACAGATTCAAGTCTCCCTCTCAATCTCTCTTAAATCTTAATCTTTCTAGGTTTTCGAGAAAAGCTTTTTTCTATAATTGGAGTTAAGGTGTACGCCATAGAGCTATACATAGATCATAAAATTATGGATAAATTAGAAAGATGGAAAGGATGAACATGGAAAGCTTTTTTCGAGAAAAGCTTTTTTCTATAATCGGAGGAAACAACCGCCTGTTTCGTCTCTTTCTCCTTCTCCGGTTTGAAGCGCTTCGATGCCTAAGAGTTTGGCTACCACAGGGGGAAATGAAATGCAATCAGCTACTGCGAGTGCAAGTACGTCACATTCACCAGCGCTAGGGTCAAATTCTAAATCGGAGAGAATCGTTCCGCCAATGCTCGCTCAAGCTCCAGTTTCTAATGTGACTTCTTCGTCTTCCCTGAGTTCATCTTCTCCTACTCGCAAAAACGCCAGGATCAGGAGTTCCTTGATACATAACCTGGTGAATTATTCTTATCTATTAGAATTTATTAGTATACAGTGCTAATCTGAGCGGGTATATAAAACTAAACTGTTTTCCATTTCCTAATTTCCTATTGGAAATCCAAATTTGTCTGTGTGACTTAAATGTACTGAACTTATCACATGAATCTTGTTTATAAGTCTGTAATGTCATGTTGTTATTCTGCAGGGAGCCCTCAGAGCATCTATCCCGCATTTTAATGTTTAGTGTCTGATGATGCCATGTTTATTTCTTAATGCAGCTCACACTTTTATGTGTAGTGTTTGCATCTTATGTAATAACATTAAGGAATGAAGTCAGAAAGCTTAAGGTATCAAGTTCTTTGATTCTGTACTCTTGGAAACAGATGATTTTGTTAAAGCCTGTTTATTCTCCATACATGAAGAGAATTATGATCTTCATAGAACTTGTTTGAATAAAGACATTCCTCATGATGAAATCATGGAGATTTTCAAACATGAAAGTGACACTGACAGACGAAACATTGCTCTCTACATTGTTCTATTTACTCTTGTGACACTTTTTGTATTATATAAATATCTTGATGATCTTACTAAAATCAAGAACCTCTCAAAACGTTCAAATAACAACAAAGAAGCAGTTCCATTAAAGAAATGAATTGCATACATGGTGGATGTATGCTTCTCTATCTACCCTTACGCAAAACTACATGCTCTTCTCTTTGCAACCATCTTTCTCATTGCATTTAGTGGTTTAGTGCTTTATGTTTTAAGTGATGGTAGTCTTGCAGAAGCCCTTTGGATTTCTTGGACATTTGTGGCAGATTCAGGGAATCATGCAGATACAGTTGGCACTAGATCAAGAGTTGTTTCAGTCTCCATAAGTTCAGGAGGGATGTTGATATTTGCAATGATGCTAGGGCTTGTTTCAGATGCTATCTCAGAGAAAGTAGATTCATTACGAAAAGGGAAAAGTTAATTCATTGAAAGCAACCACATACTTGTTCTTGGATGGAGTGACAAATTGGTAATATGTCTTGTTATTTAATTACTTTATGCACAAAGGTAAAAAAAAGATAATGTTTTGGTCAACTATAGGGTTCACTTTTGAAGCAACTGGCAATAGCAAACAAGAGCATTGGTGGTGGTGTGGTGGTTGTCCTAGCGGAAAGAGACAAGGAGGAGATGGAGATGGATATAGAAAAACCTGAGTTCAACTTCATGGGCACTTCAGTTATATGCAGAAGTGGTAGTCCACTTATACTTGCTGACTTGAAAAAGGTAAAATTGAAATCTTTTTTCCTTTTTCCTTTTTTTTCGCACCTTTGGCATACACACTTCTGCAAAAAGTGTTATTCTTCCAACAATCTTTATGCTGACCCACACTGTCTTTTCCTATGAAGGGGATGTCAGATGTAAATCAGCTACACTGGGGCCCACCATATTCTTCAAATCTTTCTTGTTAATTTCTTTTGATATTCTTAGGTTTTGGTTTCAAAAGCACGTGCTATAATAGTACATGCAACAGATGAAATTGCAGATCAAGTATGTCTTACTTCTTAAACATTTAACTTGTTTGTGCTTTGTAGGTGATAACAGTGTTGTTAAATCATCTGACAAGAGGTTATACGCCTTGTATTGTTGATAACAAGGTGAAGATCCCAGAACAGTATTTTCAAGGAAAAGAGGATAAGAATAAAAGTAAATAAAAAACGAAAGAAAGACGTTGTGGAATTATATTTTGTAGTGCAGGTGAGTCAGTATACAACAAAAGGGCTTGAAGGAGCTTTGTGGTTGATTTTAAGTTTTAACCTAATTTGACAGTTGGATTCTCGAGACTGGTTACTTATCTGCAAGTAACGTCGCAGGAAGATGAAGAAATGTTGATATGTGGGAATGAAAGTGGTTCGATTGGATGTGGTGTTGTGATGGCCTCACATAGGCTGCAACTTTGGGGGAGAGGTTTGTATTAGGCACCGATATTTTTATTTTATCTTTTTTAAATTCTTTATTTTTTTTTAATAAATTTAAGTATGTTTTTTGTTGTTGTAGATTGTTCATGCAGTGACTAAGCTTCTTGTTGCTCATTTTATATGGTTGGATTATGATAATCCAGCTAAGCCTAAGCCTATTTATCTTTACATTAATTCATCCGGAACATAGGTGATTTTTTCTTCTTTTTTTTTTGTTTCTTTTAAGGTTAAATTACTAAATACAAGAAATAAGTCAATAAAGATTTTAATTTTTTTTTCTTTTGTAGAATGACAAAATGGAGACAGTGCGGTCTGAAACAGAAGCATACGCCATTGTTGACATCATGGCTGTAAGAAATCAAAATGATTTATTTTTAACTTTTTTAGGTTATTTACTGATATGATTTATTAATTTCCGAAATTGCCCTCAAGTACTGCAAGTCAGAGGTGTATGCAGTCAACTGTGGGATGGCATTTGGTCAATTATCATTCCTCTCATATGCTCTCAACATTGGCTGCATTTAAGAAATAACAACATACTTCCATCAACTTATTTACAATATCATTATATTTTTATTTTCTTAAATTCTCTCTATTACAAAGTTATAGGCATGCCGTTAAAATATAAAGCAACTTTCTCTATGATACTTGAGTAAATATTAATGTGATTGATTAGTTGACATTTATATTTATTTCTTTTCTTGTATTAGGTACAAAGTACAATTTGGATTATAAATCTCCTAATAGTTCAGGACAAAACTTCAAGTCTGGAGAAGATATGGTTGACATGTTGAAGAAGGCAAACATATTTTTGAACCCTTTGAGATTTATCCATGTGTATACTATTTGAATGATTATTTGTATGACATTAACTTATTTGCAATGGATTGTATTTTATGTATATGGTATTTTATTTTCTATTATGAGACATTAAATGCAAATTTAATTTGAAAATTAGTAAATCTATAAATATTTTTTTTTTGTAAAAATAAAAATAAAAATTATGATACGCAAAAATGTGTGTCATCTTAATTTATGACATGGCCTTTCTTGACACGAACTCGTCGAGTTGTTCTTGGGACTCGGCGAGTAGGGTTAAGGTCCACGTAGATCACTCAGTAAGTACACTTGCCGAGTTGGGGGATAACTCAGTGAGTCAGAGGCGGGTTAAAAGACTAGAGTTCAAGGCGGTACTCACCGAGTTGTTCTTGAGACTCAGCGACTTGAGTCGAGGTAGCCCCGCGATTCATGCCAGGTGTGACTCATTAAGCACAGGGTATGACTCGACAAACCAAGAGGGACAAACAGTTAGTGGATATGTGTGTACTCACCGAGTCACCGGAGTGCACTCGGCGAGTTGGGTTAAAGTTGACCGTTGACTTTTGTTGACTTTTAGGGTTTGGTCAACAATGGGGTCCTTGAGTCAAAAGTGGGGTAAAATGGTCTTTTACCCTTCTGAGGGTGACAATAGATGGTCGAGCCTAGCCTCAAGTGTTATGTTTATGAGGGTATTTACTTTGTGTGACTAGGCGGAGGCTAGGCAATACTTCTACCAAGTTAGAGATTTACGAGACGTCTGAGGTGAGTCTTCTCACTATGCCTTACCCGATGGGGTAATTATATGCGACCGAAGGGTCTTATATGTATGATGTATATGTGATATAACTATATATGTGATATGTTATGTGATATGATCATGATGCGGGCCGGAAGGTCAAGATGATACGGACCAGAAGGTCAATAGAGTCTGTGATGGAAATCCCCTGAGACACTTGGATCGGAAGGTCCTATGGCCTGGAAAGGTGTATGTACTATATGTGCTATTTTGGGGAACTCACTAAGCATTTATGCTTACAGTGTTATGTGATATGTGTTTCAGCTACTAGCGATGATCGCAGGAAGACGCCGACATGAGTCGTACACACGCATATTGGAGAATGAAAATTTTGATCTTGGGGTTTTGTACTGATACAATGTTGATACAATGTTTTTATTTATGAATGCAAACTATATTTCATGGTTTTTCAAAAGTAAAAAATTGTTCAAATTTTTACAGTGGTACAAGTTGGTATCAGAGCCTTGGTTTGAGGGATTCGGATACATCTTCGGGCATATCTGGACTCAAACTGGGGATTTGATGAATTTTTTTAATAATATAGTATAATTTTTGAAAAAGAGAAAAAGGGGTTTTGAGACAAACAGAGCAGAGCCGTGTGTACGATCAGCCAACGCCCGAACGGTGATTTCCCAAAATACTCTCATAATAAGTGTTATCAGATATGCTATGTTATGATGTATGATGAATTACGATATGCATGCTAGAGTAGACTAGGTATTCTTATTTGGACTAGAGTGGCATGATATATCATGCCTTAGTCTAGGGGTTTTGCTGCTAGAAATGCTTAAGAGTGTTTAGGTAGCAACGAGGTGCTTATGAGAGAATTTATAGCACGTAGCACATGATAGTAAGGGTAGAGAACTTGGGATTTGGGGCTGAAGGAGGAGGACTTGGGATGAATGCCGATGCGGTATGGACGGTAGTATTGGGCCCGTACTACTGAAGATACCAGGTTGGTGCGCAGTCCAAGTATGAATCCTTAGGGCACTAAGGAACCAGTGGCGTGGAGTTATCTGTGTGATTATACTCGAGTGGGTCCCTAATATTATTATGTTGTATTTTAGAGGGAGATCATGGTTAGGACGCACCACACACCAGAGGTCAACAGGACAAGTGATGAGGAGATCCGTAGGATCATCCTCGAGGAGGTGGTTGCGGCCATCAGGGTTGAGATTCCAGAGATGTTCGGGTTTATTAAGATCACTTTGATTGAGACTTTTGATGAGTGGTATGATGCTCTTTCTGATGCTACTGTTGCTGCAGCCACTGTGACCGTTGCTACTGCCAGGCCGCAAGGGGGTGACTCGTTGTTGTATCGGGAGTTCAGCAACCCGAAGCCACCAGAATTTGATGGAACTCAGGATCCGATAGCCACGATGTGATGGGTTTCTAACATAGAGGGGTGCTTCTACACATGTTCCTGTTCGGATCATCTGAGAGTTTGGTTCGCGCTAAACCCGCTTCGCTTGGGAGCGAAGGACTTGTGGAAGTTTGTGATGGCACACTACACCCCTGCTGAGCTTGTTGCAGTAACCTGGGAGAGGTTCACTGCTATGTTCCGAGATGAGTACGTTCCCTAGGTGGAGAGGGAGCGATTGGCACAGTAGTTTCTAACCCTTAAGCAGGGTACTGAGTCGGTTACAGAGATTACACGGAGGTTTCACGAGAGGGCGATGTTCTGCCCTGAGCACGTGTCGACCGAGCAGGCATGTATGAGTCGATATCTGAGCATTTTGAGGAGAGAAATTCATTAGTTTGTGGGAAACTCATCATACCAGACATTTTCTAAGCTTCGGGAAAATGCCCAGAAGAGGGAGATCGAATTGGAGATGCAGGCCAAGGAGGAGGCCAAGTCTCAGAGGATGGATTGGTGGCCGGTACAGTCTCAACCGGCTGCCAAACGGGCCAAGCCTGCCGATTCGAGGACTGGGAGTCAGAAGGGTCGCACTTACAGAAAGTGCGACAAGGGTCATGACAGAGTTTGTAGGGTTGGTGCTTGCTACAAGTGAGGCAAGGAGGGGCATATCGCCAAGTATTGCCCCAAGGGATTCATTGTCTGTTTTCACTGCAACCAAATCGGGCACCAGAAGTCGGAATGTCCACAGATGCGAGGGACAACGTAGGGAGCACTTCAGCGATCTTCCCCGACTGTTGCAAGAGCTAGTGAGAGTCGGGCTGTGAAAGGCGAGGTGCCAAAGGCGCGGGGGAGAGCATTTCGTCTGATAGCGGAGGAGGTCCATGCAGCACCTGACGTCGTGGTTGGTATGTACTCTATCATGTATTCATTTTATGTTGAGATATTGTGCTTATATTATGTTATGCGTAGGTACTTTTCTTCTGAATTTTGTACCTGCTATAGTGTTATTTGACTCTGGTGCGAGTCGATCTTTTGTATCGTTGGCATTTAGCCAACACATCAGTATAAGTAGAGAGACGTTGAGTCGACCTTTGAGAGTTTCCATAGCGGATGAGAGAGCAGTCTATGACACCGAGGTGATTCGAGGTTGTGTGCTTGAGATTTTCGGGGTTGAGCTTCCGGTCGATTTGGTCCCCATTGTGATGGGGGATGTCTGTGTCATCGTGGGCATGGACTGGTTGAGCAGATTTGGAGCGATCATCAACTGCGAGTGACAACTGGTGACCATGAGCGACCCTACTAGGGGAGTTCTTACATTGTACGGCAAGGGTACACGTTTTGGGTCGACATTTTGTTCAGCTGCCAGGGCGAGACAGAGTCTTCAGCAGGGATGTAAGGGATTTATAGCGTATGTGATGGATGCGAGGGTTGATTCAGAGAGACCGAGGTCAGTGGAAGAGGTCCCGATAGTGCGTAAGTTCCTGGATGTATTTCCAGAGGAGTTGCCAGGTGTGCCTCCCGTGAGGCAGGTAGAGCTTAGTATCGATTTGATCCCAGGGGTTGCGCCTATCGCCAAGGCGCCCTATCGCCTTGCGCCTCCCGAGATGCAGGAGTTGTCCTCGTAGCTTCAGGAGCTGCTGGGGAAGGGATTTATTCGGCCGAGCAGTTCGCCATGGGGAGCACCTATCCTTTTCGTCAAGAAAAAGGATGGTTCACACCGGATGTGCGTAGATTATCGGGAGTTGAACAAGTTGACGGTCAAGAACCGTTATCCGTTGCCGAGGATTGACGATTTGTTCGATCAGTTGCAGGGAGCATCTTGGTTCTCCAAGATCGATCTGAGGCCTGGATATCATCAGGTAACGGTGCGGGATGAGGATATCCAGAAGACAGCGTTCAGGACTCGTTACGGGCATTACGAGTTTGTGGTGATGCCTTTCAGGCTCACCAATGCACCAGCAGTGTTCATGGATCTAATGAACAAGGTGTGTAGACCGATGTTGGATCACTCGGTGATCGTATTCATCGACGACATTTTGGTGTATTCAAGATCTAGAGAGCAGCATGAGGAGCATTTGAGGGAGGTCCTCGGGGTTTTGAGATCGGAGAGGCTTTATGCCAAATTCTCCAAGTGTGATTTCTAGTTGCGAGAGGTCTAGTTCCTGGGACATCTCGTTAACCAGAAAGGGATATTTGTCGACCCTGCTAAGATTGG